TATCATAAAGTGATGTTGAATTTTATCATATGCTTTTTCTGCATCTATCGAGATGATCATATGGTTTTTGTCTTTCATTCTGGGGGGTATGATGTGATGTATCAGGTTTATTGATTTGTGTATTCAAACTGTCCTTGTATCCCTGGGATAATTTCTCTTTGGTCATGTTGTATAATCGTCTTGAAGTGTTGTTGTTTAGTTTGCTAGAATTTTGTTGAGGATCCTTGTATGTTTGTTCATCAAGGATATTGGCCTTTAAGGTTTTTTTTTTGCTGTGTCCTTGCCTGGTTTTAGTTATCAGGGTCATGCTGGCCTCATAGTATGAGTATGGAACAATTCCATCTGCTTCAATTTTTTTGAAATAGTTTAAGAAGTATTGGTATTATTTCTTTAAAACTTTGGTAGAATTCAGCAGTAAAGCCATCTGGTCCTGGGCTTTTCTTTGTTGGGAGACTTTTTATTACTAATTCAATTTCCTTACTTGTTATTGGTCTATTCAGGTTTTCTGTTTCTTCTTGGTTCAGTCTTGGCAGGTCCTATGTGTCCAGGAATTTTTTCATTTCCTCTAGGTTTTCAAATTTATTGGTGTATTGTTGTTCGTAATAGTCTCTAATGCTCCTTTGAATTTTGGTGGTATCAGTTGTAATGTATCCTTTTACATTTCTGATTTTATTTATTTGGGTCTTTTTTTTCCCTCAGTCTAGCTAATGTTTGTTTGTCTTTTAAAAAAAACATTTTCATTTGATTAATCTTTTATATTGTATTTTTAGTCTCAATTTCATTTATTTCTGCTCTGATTTTTATTGTTTCTTTTCTTCTACTTATTTTGTGTTTGGTTTGTTCTTGCTTTTCTGGTTCCTTGAGATGCATTGTTAGGTTGTTTATTCGAAATCTTTTATTTTTTGATGTAGGCATTTATTGCTATAAACTTTCCTCTTAATACTGCCTTGTAAATCAGTAAAACTATTCATTTCTAGTTTTATTCTGTTATGGTCAGAAAAAATACTTGACATGATTTTGATTTTTTTGAACTTGTTGAGACTTGTTTTCTGTTCAATCCTGGAGAATGTTCCATATACCAATGAAAAGAATGTGTGTTCTGTAGTTGTTGGATGAAATGCTCTGTAAATGTCTGTTAGATCCGTCTGGTCTGTGGTGCCATTTAAATCTGATGTTTCCTTGCTGATTTTCTGTCTTGGTGATCTGTCTAATACTGAGAGTGGGATGGTAAAGTCCAACTATTATTGTGTTGGTGTCTGTCTCTCCCTTTAGATATGATAATATTTACTTTATATATCTGGGTGCTACAGTGTTGGGTACATATCTATTTATAATTGTTATATCCTCTTGCTGTATTGATCCCTTTGTCATTATATAATGCCCTTCCTCATATCTTAGTACAGATTTTGATTTGAAGTTTGTTTTATCTGAATTAAGTATAGCTACTCCTGCTTGCTAATGTTTTACATTTGCATGGAGTATCTTATTCCATCCTTTTACTTTCAGTTACATGTGTCTTTGTAGGTGAAGTGTGTTTCTTTTAAGCACCATACGTATGGGTCATGTTTTTGTTTGTTTGTTTTTTTAATCCATTTACCCAGTCTGTGTTTTTTAATTGAGGCATTTAATTAATTTACATTCAAGGTTATTATTGATGTATGAGGCCTTCCTCCTATCATTTTATTTGTTGTTTTCTGATTATTTTGTGTATTCTTTGTTCCTTTCTTCCTCTCATTGTTTATCCTTGCAGTTTGGTAGTTTTCTGTATTGATAAGGTTTGATTCCTTTTTCTTTCTAATTCGTATATCTACTTTACCAATAAGTTATATATATATATATATATATATATATTTTTTTTTTTTGTCCTTTTTGAGACCGGCCACACTGTGCTCAGCCAGTGAGTGCACCGGCCATCCCTATATAGGATCCGAACCCGCGGCGGGAGCGCTGCTGTGCTCCCAGTGCCACACTCTCCCGAGTGCGCCACGGGCCTGGCCCATAAGTTTTATATTTTAAAGGTGTCTTCATGATGGTTGTTCTTGTTCTTTTCCAGATGTAGGACTCACCAAGCATTTCTTGTAAGGTCTGGTTGTGATGAATTCTCTTAATTTTTGCTTATCTGAGAAAGACTTTGATTCTCCTTCATAATTAGAATATTTGCTCACCTAATAGTGTCCCATAGATCTGTAGGCTTTGTTCATTCTTTTTTCTTCTTTTTTTTTTTTTGTCTTCTATGTTATTCCAAAACTGTTATCTTCAAGATCAGAAATTCTTTCTTCTGCTTGATGTAATCTGTTGTTGAGACTTTCAAGTGTATTTTTGATTTCATTCAATGAAATCTTTAATTCTAAGATTTTTTTTTTTTTAATGATGTTTATCTCTTTGTTGAATTTCTCATTTGGATCATGAATTGTTTTTCTGATTTCATTGTGCTATTTGTCTTTATTCTCTTGTATTTCATTTAGTTTCCTAAAGATAATTAATTTGAATTCCTTTTCCGGCAAGCCAGCAATTTTTGATTCTTTGGGATCAGTTACTAAGAGCATTATTGTGTTTCTTTGTTGGTATCACATTACCTTGTTTGTTCATGTTTTTTGTTTCCCTGCATTAATATCTATGAATCTGGTGGAATAGTCACCTCTTTGAGATTTGTATAGTGGTTTGTGTGGGTAAACACTTTCACCTGCAGATGTGTCCTAGGGTGTCAATCAGGAGCTGGTCTGCCAAGGGTGGGGCTGTTGAACAGATTTTCAGGCAGTGGATGAGGCTGTTAGGCAGGCCTGCTGAGAGGGAGCCTGGCCAACTGTTTCTCGGGTGGTGGGTGATGCTGCTGGGCAGGCCTACAATGAGGGGAGCTGTTGAGGGCGAAACTGCCTGGCCACTTCTCTGGGAGGTTGCAAATGTACTTTATATCCACTGGCTTGAGGACCTATTCGTTAGGGTAGACACCTGTGAGCTGTTTTTCTGAGTGGGTGGCTCCAGCGCACAGTACTTAGTCAGTTGAGGGGGGTGGTAATGGCAGGAAAGGGACAGTCTACCAGGTGCAAATCTGCCTGTCTGATCTACGGCCTGGGATGTGCGGGTTCAGCAGGCCTGCAGTTGGCTTCTCAGACTGTACGACTAGAGTCATAGCCACTGTGGGCCCAGGCTTTATGCTGATGGGATCAGGGCATTATAGTCTCATGTGTGTATGTCAGAATGACTGCAGGGGCCTTAAGTCTGAGGAATCACAATGGTGACTAGCCCCAGATATGGTTGCTCTTCTGTGGTGACTCTGGTTACAAAATGGCACCATACCGCATTTGCTTGGGTCACAAGGGTTGGGGGTGGGAAGTGCACAGTATGTGCTCCTGTTCTAGACCAATGCAGTGTGTATATTCTAGGCTGCTCCCTACACTTGGCTCCAGGCTTGTCCTGTAAAAGGAACTGCAGGCATCTGTGGTGATGTTGGGGTTGGTGTCTGCCTTTTCACTGCAAGCGGAAATTCATCTTGTGCTGGTCCTTGTGATGAAAACATGGCAGCTGAGACTGTGTGCCTTTCTCACTTCTCTATGCTGCCATTCTGGGCTTTTGAGCTCCACAGGGGTCTCACTGGTCTCCTGCTGCTGTCCTACACTCTTCCACAGATGCTTCCATTAATATTTAGTTGTCTCTTAGTTGTTCTGGTCCATTTTTGTGAGAGAAACAAGCCCCAGGCACCGCTAGTCCATCATCTTCAAATTTCTCAGAGAGTAATAATTTTATATCTTTTGACTGAGCAAAAATGCACTTAAGATTGATGGGTTACATGGTGCTGATAACATCAAGGTCATGGGTTAGGATCCTTGTACTGCCCAGCTACCAAAAAAAAAAAAAAAAAAGATCCATTTGTTGTTTAGATGTCACTTTTCTGATTGTGATATTGTACTGTAGTTTTGCAAGGTGTTACCAGTGGAGAAAACTGGGTAAATGGTACATGACATCTTTCTGTATTATGCACGTGACTCTGCAATGATGTCAAAATAAAATGTTTAATTATTTAAAATGCATTTAAATATCAAGGGGGTTAGAATAATAAAGCTACTATATTTTAGAGCAGATCCAAAATTCCATAGTCATATGCAGATAAAGAAATAGAAGGTAAAAATTTTTTAATTTGCTGATGTGGAATGCAACAATTATAGATATGAACAAGACACTTATACCTGCTTATAAAGGAGATAGAAGTAATAAAGTAAATTAAACCAGCATTTAAAATTACTTGCCATGGGGGCTGGCTGGTTAGCTCATTCAATTAGAGCACAGCCTTGTAACACCAAGGTCATGGGTTTGGAGCCCAGTTCTTGCCAGCCACCAAAAAAAAAAGTTATTTGCCATGAATTTTTATATTTGCCTTGGGCTGAAGTTGGTACTGCCCTAGTTTATAGTTATTAGACCAATATCTGAACACAAGCTCCAAGGGCAGAGATTGTTTTATTTATCTTTATATACCCCCCAAAGTGCTTAGCACCATGATTTCTTTCCACATAGTAAGCTGGGGCCTTTTTCAATAGCATTTGTTGTAGTTTGAATGAACAGTATTAAATCCTGTTTCATTTAAGAGTATTATATTAAGAGTATATTTTGTAAACTCTTTTTTTTTCATTTAAAGGACACTTTTGAAAGCATAGTTTTCCTGTTAACCTTAGTTCAATGATTTCAGTGGCATATTCTCAGACATTGTATGATTATGGAAGACAGTAACATATTAGTTTTTATTGCCATACATTGCTGTTATTTTTAATAGCCAATATAAATACTTACTAAGAGATAATTCTAGATAAAATTGTGGGGTTTTTGGTGGGGCATATTCCCTAATACGAGAAAGAGTTATAAAGATGATAGTTTAAAAGATTATAGCTTGGAATGTTTTTTTAAATGATAGATCTTAAACTAATTTGTACTTGATAAACTAGAATGCTGTGAAATAAATGTTTTCAGTTGACTTGATATTTTTCCACGTTGTCTTTGCTTTTGTACAGGTGTATTACCTGACTGCTTAACAGACGGTTCTGATGTGGTCAGTGACCTTGAACAGGAAGAGATGAAAATCCTGAGGGAGGTTCTTAGGTGACCTTCTTTAATTATTTTTTGAATGAATCATTAGTACTAATAGTAATTTTATAATATGATCTGTATTTATGCTTTTTACCCAGAAAATATTTATGAACTAGTAAAATATCTATCTAATTTCTCTACTGATGACCATCAAAATGATTATTTTATAACTATATATTACACTTCTTATTGGACATAAAAAAATTATTTTCAGATGACTCATTCCGGATCAGCCCCCATAAGAAAGTCTTTTTCTACCCGCTTCATAGGAATAGCCATCAATGGGAGACAGTTGCAGTAGACCTAGCCTGATGCCTAGAGGGGTGTAGTGACCTGAGTGAAGGAGGATACTCCATGGCTTCTGGATCTCAGTATTAAAAGTGGCTCATTCTAGGTGTCTCACAGTAGGGGGCTGGGCATTTCGACTCCACAGATTGAAAGCTGAATGGGTGACAGGACACCTTCAAGCGAGGGAGGACTGTGAGAGGCATCTATCCCAAATGAGTATCTTCTCAATCTCTTCCTCTCCCCAGTTACATGATTCTCAGCTAAATGCCTGGAAGGGAGTGTGCAGCCCACTAAAGGGGCCCACACAGAACTAGGAAAGGTTAGTTGGGCATTCTGTTTTCCTTGGGCCTGTTGTCCTCTGACCCCTGTGGGAGTTCTGGAAGGGAGGGGCAATTGCATCACCTAGTTTTTAAATCTCCTGTGAGAATGTAATAGGTTTAGGGCAAGAGGATATCTGCAGTCACTGTATCACCTGCGGAATAGGGCCTTGGCCTTTGGAGGCACTTCTGCTGTACCATCACACATACCCACCTTCTTTTTTTTTTTTTTTTTTGTCCTTTTTGAGACCGGCTGCACCGCGCTCAGCCAGTGAGCGCTGTGAGCGCACCAGTCATCCCTATATAGGATCTGAACCCGCGGCGGGAGCGCTGCCAGCACCGCACCCTCCTGAGTGCGCCACGGGCTCGGCCCACATACCCACCTTCTAACATCTTGTAGTCCCTCCACCTGTCCACCTCATCCTATCTCTAAAGCAAAAGAGAGGATAGGCAGGATGGCGCTTAGAAGGATGGGTCTAGTGGGAACGGCAGGAGTTCCAGGACATAATGCCTAATTTCAGGGGGTTTGAGTGGTTGTGAGGAGGGAGGCAGAGGGGAAGGTGAACTTAGCCCTTTCCTGCCACATTCTACTTTCCACGGCAGGGGCAATGGGAGCCCGAGACAACACAATGCTTTGAGTTTACAGGTTTGAAGAGGTAGCGTATTTGGTTCAGATGACTGGTAAAGGTTTGAGTTGGGCTGATGGCGTTGGTTGATTGGTGGTCTGGAAACTGATCAGCACTGTACTTTTAGATTTTATTTTCAAATAGCTTTTGAGGGGGGTATACTACTGTGTAAGTAGGAGAACTTAGTTATGAATATGTACAACAGTTGACCTTGGCTATTTACCTAAATCACACTAAGTGAGCAATTTATAAAAGTTAATAGGCTCTGGCACAGTGGCATTAGGAATGCCACTGGATGCCACTGGAAAAACTAGAATGAGGGGGAAATGGCTTTTATCAGGACAGGTGTGAACTGATCTCTCTCTAGAGGGAGATCCAAGATTTTATTAATGGGATTTGTCATTCAAGTTTGGGTTTAGGATTCCGAATCTGTTGGTCTTTGTTCAGCTAGGGTTCTTTCGCATTTCTAGAAATGAGTAACCTGTATTTTATGTTACTAACTTTATTATGCAGTGTATGTCTATGTATGTCTTTCCCAGTTCATTGTAAGCTGCTTTAAAACATGGCCTGATTATTTTCCATCTTTGTGTCCAAAATGCCTTGCTTGTGTTGTAAGCTTAGGTTGCATGTTGTTTGATTGAATATTTGTTCTTTGACCATAAAAGAAATTTTACCTTTCTACCTTATTATTGTATATTTCAGAAAATCTAAAGAGGAATATGACCAGGAGGAAGAAAGGAAGAGAAAAAATCAGGTGCCTACAGAACATATAAATATAATAAAAATATTTCATTGTTATATCTCTTATTAAGTTTATATACCTAGTTTTTGCTGTTAAAGTTTAAGCTTATGTGAACTAAACAGTTCCTCACAGTATTCATTTTTTCTTGGTAAATCTAAGCATTTATATTTAATTTTTTATACTTTTTTATATAGAAAGTTTATACTTTCTTATAAGAATGTCTACTTTGTATTTTCTTTTATAGGATTAATTACTTTCATTATAACTTTATTCACTTTATAATTCACCCAGAAACCTACCTTTTAAATTTCATGATAAAGGACAAGATTATTAATTCCAAAAACTGTAATACATTCATATGGGGGATTTCTTATAAAAATTTCCTTTAATTTTATGAATTAAAAATGATTAAGAAAAACCTTTTACTTTCCCGTTCTCTTTGACTCCTTTACTGTGTTGAAACAGTAACTACAGCTACTGTACAGCTACTATCCCCTGCAGGCTTTAATGTTATCAGCTTGAAGCAGAATGATACAGTATCACATTTCTTGGCATATTATTCTTCCATTAAGAACTATTTACATAAAGTGCCTAATTTTTCATAAGGATAAATTAAATATATAATCTGGATGAGGCGAGGGAAGCTAATATCTATTCTTTCCTCTCTCCTTTTCTAGCTGCCTCTCTTTCTATGTTTTCCCAGTTTCCCTCAAGGGAAAGGGAAACCTAACATAAACCTCTCTCTCAATCATTTGAAAGTTATTTTCCCTTTTTTCCCTCTCAGTCACTATGATATATGCTTGTATCATTTCACTGACTTGGAAAAACCTATTTTACCCCAATGAAATGCAGAAGAAAAAGGATGTTTTAGGATTAAGAGGTGATTTAGTATCTTTGAGTAAATATTTTTTAATAAATGGAGGCAAAGTTCTTAGATATTAAATTATAAGGGTATATAACATAAACCAGTTCAAAACTACTATCAGAAGACATTAGTATTAATTCTCTGATTTTTATGTAATCTATATTAGGTTTCTCGAATAATACTATGTTTTAGGGGTGTGTGGTTGGTTTTTTTCTTGTGAGACTTTTTACTAAGGAAATTTTGAAACACAAAAATAGAGGTGATAATAATAATGAACCCTCATGTATCCATTACCCTACATATAGAGGCTTATGATTTAGATATCCATGAATTGCTGAATATGCTACATGTGATTGGATTTTCTTCTTTTTGTAAGGAAAAATGAATTAATGCCAGCTTGCTTCTTTTGAAGAATTAAATTATTTCTTTGGTTTAAATATACTATTCCATTTCAGAAATGGAAATAAAGCAATTTGTGGCTATTTCAGGCATTTCATAGTAGTTGTATATACATTATTTTAAGTGGAAAAACGCTTTATAATTCAGTGGTTTTATCTCTTAGAATATTTCTTGGTGTCTTGCTCAAGGTCACATGGTTTGAACCCAGTTCTTGCTAAGTCCGAAGTCCTAACCATACTAGTTACCTTTAGCACTACGTAATTCAAAATGAAATATTTACCTACCTCAGACAGTAGGAGATATAAAATTGCTAGCAACATCTTAAAAACCTTGGAAAATAGAATCTCTGGTTCATTAATCAGTAGATAGTAATTTTTTTTAATAACGTCTTTGGATCCCTTAGGTAGTGAATTAGTCAAAATTAATCTAATTTTTAAAATTTTATTATGGAATCCTGAAGTTATCAGAGGCTAAAACAGAAGAGCGCCCACTGAATACTAGTGAAGCTGCAAAAATGAGTAATTCCCAAGGGGATGGTGAACATTTTGCACACCCACCCTCAGGTAAGGTTGATGTATACTTAACTTTCCCTAATGGATACAAACCATTGTATAGAGTGTGTTAATTTCTCGTACATATTTAATTTTCAAAAACCCTGAGAGGGAGAGTGTTGAACAGCTTTGGTATTTAAAGTTCTTTGTGAATTTAGGTTGCAGGTAGGAAATACCCGGCCGAAAGGGAGGTATAGTCCACAAATTTCCAAGTGAAGTCTAGAACTCAGAGTAGTGAGCAAAACTCCTTGGGAGAGACACCAGCCTTTGTGCCATGGCTGCAGCATACAAGATATGTTCATGTAACATTTGGTATTCTCTTCCTTGCTTACAATTATATGGTGTTTGTGAGTCAGAAGCTGAACTTGGAAAGATTATATTAAATTACTTTCCTAATGAATTAAAGCACAGCTAGAAAATAAGAGGTAATCAGTTTGTACAGATATTTAGTAAAAATTTGTGTCTTTGAAACCAAAGTTGATGAGAATCCTTGTAAAAAATGTTAGTGGGTGAACTTGTTCAATATGTAGCAAATCCACATTCAGTATGCTATGTAAGAAACAAGTACAAGCTGTTTGGTTAGCTCAGTTGGTTAGAGCATGGTCCTGAGAACACCAAGGTCCAGGACCAGGCTGCCAAAAAAAAGAAAAAGAAAACAAGTACAGTAATTCTGAAACAGAAATTGAATTGTGATCATGAATTCAGTTCATTTTATGGAATTTCTATGGTTTAAAATTCCTTTTCTCAATTAAAAAAATTGTATCTCTGTGATGTAGATGTTATGATATTTATTTTTCTTTTACATTTTTTTTCTTTTTACAAGATATTCAAGGATATTGAGTGGCTTATCCAAGATCACTGAGCTTTTAAATTGTGAAACCTAGGTCTTGGGACTGTAAATATTACGTTCTTCTACATTTTTCTTTGGAAAAACTTCTATAATTGAGATAAGTTTGATGTTTACCCATTGATTTTTTAATGTAAGTTGGATACAACTTAATTTTTTAAATACACTTTATTTTTTAAAGCAGTTTTAGGTTCAGAGTAAAATTGAGCAGAAGATAAGAATTTCCCATATAGCCCCTGCCCCCACACATGCAGTCTCTCCCATTATCAACATCCCTTACCAAAGTGATACATTTGTTACATTGGTAAACTTACACTGACAAAGCATAATCACCCAAAGACCATAGTTTACATTAAGAGATTTTTATATATTTTGGATAACAATCCTTTATCAGATATCTTCTGAAAATATTTTCTCACAGTCTGTGACTTCTCATTCTCTGATATTGTCTTCTACAAAGCAGAAGTTTTAAATTTTAATGAAGTCCAGCTTATTAATTTTCTTTCATGGGTTGTGCCTTTGGTGTTTTATCTAAAAAGTCAACACCATACCCAAGGTCATCTAGGTTTTCTCCTATGTTACCAAGAGTTTTATAATTTTGCATTTTACATTTAGGTCTGTGATACATTTTGGGTTTATTTTTGTGAAAGGTATAAGGTCTGTATCTAGAGTCATTTTTTTTTTTTGCCCATGGATGACCAGTTGTTCTAGCACCATTTGTTGAAAAGACTGTTTTCTCCATTGTATTTGCCTTTGCTCCTTTGTCAAAGACCAATTGGCTATATTAATGTGGGTTTGTTTCTGGGATCTCTATTCTGTTCCACTGATCTATTTGTCCGTTCTTTTGCTAGTACCACATGGTCTTATTGCTGTAGCTTTATAGTAAGTCTTGCAGTTGCATAATGTCAGTCCTCCAACTTTGTTCTTCTCCTTCAATACTGTGTTGACTATTCTGGGTATTTTGCTTCTTCATGTAAACTTTAGAATTAGTTTGTCAATATCCTCAAAATAACTTGATGGACTTTTGATTAGTATTGCATTAAATCTATAGATCAGGTTGGGGAGAACTGACAACTTGACACTATTGAGTCTTCCTATCCATGAACATGGAAATATATCTATTTATTTAGTTCTTTGATTTCTTTCATCAGAATTTTGTAGTTTTCCTCATGTAGATCTTGTGCATATCTTACTAGATTTTATACCTAAGTATTTTACTATTTGGGGTGCTAAGATAAATGGTATTGTTTTTAATTTCAAATTCCATTTGTTCATTACTGGTAAAAGGAAAGTGATTGGCTTTTGTTTATTAACCTTGTATTCCGGTCTTAATGTTGATTCTATTGGATTTCTACATAGATGATCATGTCATCCACAAATAAAGATTTTTATTTCTTTCTTCCCAATCAGTGGATCTTTTATGTTCTTGTATTGTTTTACTGTATTATGTAGAAGTTCTAATATGATGTTGAATTGTAGTAGTCAGATGGGACATTCCTGCCTTGTTTCTGATCTTAATGGGGAAGCATCTAGTTTCTCATCTTTAAGTATGGTATTAGTTTGTAGGTTTTTTTGTAGACATTCTTTATCACATTGAGGAAGTTCCCCTCAATTCCTAGTTTACAGAGAGTACCTACTGATGTTTATTTTTCTTCTTTTTAATCATAAGTGGTCAAGCCAGAACAGGGCCCACTGACTTTAAGGTACTATATTATTAGGTGATAAAACAATGGTGAGCTATGAAACCAGAAGCAGGTTTATGAAGTTACCTTGCTTTTATCTTCCTAGCAAGTCTCACCATTTCTTTCTTTTCTTTTTCATATTCTGCAGATTGTAAATAGAAATGACCTCATTTGAATTATATCTATGAAAGCTCCTGCTTTAGATTTGTCTGTGCTGTATTTTAATTTGCTGGCCCAAATATAACTTTCTGTTTTATATAGACCTAAGTACATATACTGTTTAAATCTTGTGTCTAACATAATTTGAATAAATTTGTTTTCTCTTTTCCTTATCTATTAAACGAAGCTGTAGAAAACTTGATCTCAAACCACATTTAACTCAATTGTGCACATTTATGGCACAGAACAAATGGTAGATTAATTTAAAAAGTACTGATTTTAATTTTCAATACTATTTTTTAAAAAACAGGCATTCCAAGGAATCACTTATTACAGAGTGATGGAAGCCCATTGTGCAGATCTCATTTTGGAAGAGTCATGAAGGTGCTTGACCTTCTGTCTTGTCTGTTTGCTCATCTTTCCCTGGTTGCTGCTAGAAATGGATAGCATCTGTTCTCAGATTGATGCATAGTTGCCAGAAATGAGATGATCTTTCTTTAGCCTTTTTTGCTTTCTGATCCTTTCCTAGAATTTAGAGATGCTAAATATTTTGGCTTCAAGTACTTTCCTCTCTCTGTCTGAGAGTACACAATATGTTCATAACTAGCAAACTCAAGGCAAGAACTGTCCAGACTAAGTACATGAGTTGAATATAAATGCTTGTATGTATAGGTTTCCCCTCCTCAGGAATGAATTGAACTTCCCCCTCTGTGGTTCTGTATTTGGGTGCTAAGCCTACCTGTGCTAAAGTCACCATCAGTAAGAATGGCCATGTTTTAACTCTGTCTGCATATCATGACCAACTTGTTTAAGCTCATCTTTTGATTACTTTAATTCCACAGCTCCCTGTCTGAGTTGATTTGGAGTGCTAACTCCAGCTCATTTCTTCCATGAAAACCTCCTTTACCATCAAGGGCCTGTGGAGCTTTTCTTCTTCCAACCTCCCTGGCACTGCAATCAGTCCACTCACCCCATGCTAGAACAGTGGACCTTTGTCAAGTTTCTTGCATGGGAAAAATTCTATTTCCAGTTTTAATATGCTGGCAAGATTCTTAATCATTTAAAGACATGTGTACTGTGTTCTCTCATCATGGTTTTACTTCTTGGCATCATTTTTATGTCAGTCTTTGCTCACTCTACTTTCATAGCCCATGTACATACACTGAAAATGTTTTATCTTCTTTTAAAAAATCACCTTGTAGTAAAAAATGGCTTAGAGGAGCGATTAGAATGTTAACCCTGTCCCTTGGCACAACCACTAAATAGCTGGAAGTATTGAGTGCTCATGGTGTATGTGCCTCTATGTTCTGCTTGCTTTAGAAATCATTTCTTTTTTTTTTTTTCCCTTTTTGTCTCTTTTTTTGTGACCGGCAACGGATCGCAACCCTCAGTGTCGCGCCCGTACCGGACCGGGACCGGCAACGGGATCGCAACCCTCGGTGTTGCCCCCGCACCTCGCTCAGCCAGTGAGCGGCTGGTCTGTATGTGGGATCCGAACCCTCGGCGGGAGCGCCGCTGCGCTTCCTAAGCGGCGCACTGTAGTAGTGCGTCACCGGGCCGGCCCTAGAAATCATTTCTTAATGCATTGGAAGGTTTATAGTTATCTTCAATACATAATTACAAACAAAAATTATTGATGTACTGGCACTTATTCTTGCAATACAAAAAATTATAGCTTTACATGAATCGTTCTGAAAATATAAGGTCATTTAGAGTTTTTACCTGCATGCAAAAGTTTGGAAACCAATTACATTATTAGTGAGAGATTAGTATACTGTTTATTTGGTTTATGGGGCAACCTTGTATTACATTATAGTGTAGTTCTAATCTTTAGACAAGGATGATATCTTTGTAGCTTTTCCTAGTACTGTACAAACAGCAGAAGCTTGGTCTTTCTTGAAATGTCGTTATTCATAAGAAACTAGTTCAAACTCGTTAAGGACAGAGACCATGTTTATTGTTCTCACCCAGTGCCTGGTACAGTGTAGGCAAGGAACATGTTGATTGAATGAATATGAGAAAAAAACAAGTATTATTGTTAGCTCATTTTGGTGAACCTAGCCTAATACTTAATATTTCTTGTAATATTTTAATTAGTCTTATTGTTTAATTACTGCCAGAAATTAAAGTGCATTTTGGTAATCAGTCAGTACAACCGTTGGCAAGAAATGTGGAAATGCTGCCTGAAACTTCCTCCCTCCCACAAAAAGGCCTGAAGATTCCTGGCTTAGAACGTGCAAGCAGTGAAGGACCGATAGCGGTAAGTAAAAGACCTCACTTTCTAAGAACTGTGAGCAAAGTCACAAGGTACTGGGAACAATAAACCATATACTTGGCTTTTGTTGTGATCTTGAAGTCAGACTTCTAAAATCGGTCAGTGGGTATCTGTGCCACTTATGTGGACTCGAATTTAGATAGTTTTATTTTACTTTTATTTGACCCAGAATTTATCAGCACTTGGAAAAGAAGAACTCCGGCAACGAGAACACTATCTGAAGCAGAAGAGAGATAAGTTGATGTCCATGAGAAAGGATTTAAGGACTAAGCAGATACAAAGTATGGAGGAAAAAGGAAAACCTACTGAGGAGGTAGAGGTATGGCTAACCTTAGTATGTCAAAATTTGCAAATCTAGAGGTGGAATTCTTAAAATCAGAGTATGTGCAAGAAAGCCTCTAATGAATTCTGCTGGTAGATCCATTCATATTAACCTCCTGAAAAGCGACGATGAGGATTTTGTGAGGCAGAAATAATAGCAGTTTGAGTATACAATTTTTTCTTGTTTCTTTACTTGCCCTGGACTGAGTTCACAGGGTCAGTGGTCTATTTTACATGAAGCTTCTGAAATGTTTGAAATGTTTTATCATAGAGCAGCATCAGTATCCCAGGCACCACCTCCAAGAGGCTTCCTCAAGAAGAGATTTTGGGAAATTCTTTGTCTGGCTTCCCTCCCCTCCCCCCAGATGCACTTTATCTTTGTTCATTTGAGGCAGTGCTGGGAATTTTAGACAAATGAACCCATTTTATACTATAGCCAATTTTTTTTTCTTTTTTTTTTTTTAAGGAAATGAGAGAGAAACCAGAAATGACAGCAGAGGAGAAGCAAACATTACTGAAGAGGAAATTGCTTGCTGAGAAACTTAAAGAAGAAGTTATTAATAAGTAATAATTTTAAAGACCAATTTAGCAAAACAGAAGTTCAAATTTTCTTAAAAATAAATTATTTAATCCTTAAACCGAGCCTGTTAGTTTCAAACAAATACTTTTGAAAATGAAAATATAAACTTACTGTTATTTTAAACATGTGAGGTAAAGGGTGGTAGGGAGATCAGCTACTTATACTGAGCAGCTTAATACAGATTTCTGGATGATGTTTTTCTTGGAGAGAGGGTATAGAAAGAAACTAGTTGGTAGTGCATTCATTTGTTCAAACTTGGTTATCCTGCTGTTTGCGCCAGGCATTGTGCTAAGGATACAGTAGTCACCTTGGTTGACAGGGTTGCTGTCTTCATAGGGCTAGTGAAGAAGGCCCAAAGAGCAATGTGTTAGAAAGGAAAAGTGCAGAGTGCCTATAGCTGCCTGAGCCTCCTTGATAAAGTGATGTTTAAGCTGATTGGAGGGGTAACTGCACAGAGAAGTGTCAGCATATGACACTGAGATAAGTGGAATACTGATTGATTGTGCAGGGCCTTATAGGGAATGTGAGAATTTTAAATTTTAAAATACAGGCAGTAGGAAGTCATTGAAAAGTTCTAAAGCTTTTTATGATTGAAATTTTAATTTTTATTGCTGTAGAGAGACTAGTGGTGGGCTAGATTAGTTGTGAGAGTACTAGGTATGAGGCAGTCCAATTAAAAGTAGTTTTCTTGTGCAATGGTAAGATGGATTTTACATTTAACACTTACATTTACATTTGAGGCAGGAGCAAACAGGATTTGGAAGATAAATGTGGGGGATGTTAAAAATAATTACCCACTCTTTGTAGAAAAGCTATTATTAAAACAGATGAAGGAAACAAATGACTGAGCCCGTTGAAGTAAGTGCTACCACTGGGTGTAGGTCTTTTTTTTATGAGAAGTGACCCTGGAATAGTTTTCTATACTCTGTCTGCTTAAAGATAGATAACTAGAATGGTAGGAGAGAGCTTTCTTTCAGAGACTTCCAGTATTATGACCTCCCACATCCACCCTTTTCTAGTTATAACACGCTCCTGAGGTGAACTTTTATCTCCTTAAATCTACAATTATAAACTTTATAAAAGGGATACCAAAATTAGTTTAACAAAATTTGCTCATTTACTTATATTTCCAACCTACTACCTGCAGAAAAACGAGTATTCTACATTTGTTAGGTTTTCATCACTAGATGTACAAGAGGAAAAGGCCAGTGATTAAAACACAGAATGTTTCATATCACTTTTTATTAAAAATAGCTTCTATAGTGGATACATGTTTACAGATATCATTTTTAGAGGACCCAAGGCACAGAGACTTGGGCTCTGGCTTGCTTCACTGAGTGAAGATGATAAAGATATAAAAACCCAGATCTGCCTGTGGGTAGTCATTTAAGGTAGCTGCTAACATAGGATCTTCATAGTTCTTTCAAGGGATACTTTAAGTCTTGTGAGCAAGCATATGTACCATGAGAACTGTTATCCTGTATTTCAAGAAAACATTCACATTTCTGCTATAAGAAAAGGTTCCTGTGATGATGATATAAATGTTTAAGACTCGTGGCAGCTCTTCAGAAAATTAAAGGAAGTCTTCATAAGATACAAGGATAATAGTTCCTACTGGAAGTTAAAGTTAATCAATAAGAGTCACGAGTAGATAGGGAAATGTTTTAGGCCTGGGCTTCTTCGATAATAAGGAGAAATTTAATAAGAGCTAAGAAGAGAGGAGGGGACTGGCTGGTTAGCTTCGCTGGTTAGAGCATGGTGTTGGTAACACCAAGGGCAAGGGTTCAGATCAGATCCCTATCCCAGCCAGCTTCCAAAGAAAAAAAAAAAAAAGAAAGAAAAAGGGCTTCATAAAACTTGCTTAAAAGAGTGTTTATATGGTAACTTTACTGATTTTGGTTTAAATATCCCAAGTCACTTGCCTTATGAGGTGGAAGGTCTTTTTTTATTATATGTACACTTTTAATCAAAGAGGGGAGAATAGCTTCATGCTATGATGCTTTGGTACTAAGATCTTATTTGCCCAAAGCTCACCTTCTATAAGTACTTAGTCAAATTTAAAGTGCAGCTGACCCTCATTTGTTCAGAATTCTTTCATTTAGATTTATGTATGACCTAGTGGCTTATAATAAACATCTATGGATAATTTTATATTTACAACAAATCAAACACAAGCATCAATCATGGAATTACAGGGTCACATTTTAATTCCTGAATTTTACAGTTCAGCATTAATATCACCACATGTATACAAATGGTGTAAAACAAGTACAGTGGTATTTTTAATACAAAATAAACATCTGTTTTATGGAAAAACTATACTTCATATCTACACAGACAGCCCATTTTTTCCAAACAATAGCCCAAATTAAAATTAACTACAAAATCCTCCAAAACAGGGGAAACTGCTTCAGTTTAAGCTATTCCAGGAAAAATGGACCCATAACACATTACAAGGGTGATCTAAAGATTGTAGTTCGAATTTTTTTTTTTTAGCTTTTTTTCCCAATGCATTAAATTGTACTTTGGGGACATTTTTCTCACTTCAGCATGATCTCAGATCATAGACAAGCAAACTAACATTAAAATATTTACAGTTAACTTGCTGTTCTAAAAATAAAACCTCTTAACTGTTTGCCTGAATTTAAATTCATTTACGTACATGGAATGTGCTTTTACTCTTTTAAAAAAAGCAGCTTTCATGTTACACCCTTGTTTATGGAAAAGCTTTATGTGCTGCATACTGACTTTGATACTTAAGTGACTTTTTGGATCAAAATGGCTTCTAGGTATTAAATGCCACTTAACTCAGCACTATTATTTGTTAGTCTTTATAAATTACACTTTAAAACTTAACTGTAGCTCTGGAGAGAGACAACTGTACTAACAAAGCAGAAAGTGACTTCAAAGTATCTTCCACAAAAGATTGTACTAGTAGGTGGTTGAAACATTCTGTACTATCCACTCTAGAGTTTCCAGAGAAAAGCATTTTGGAATACTACTGTACTGATTCTTGGCCTCTAATATCTCTAAAAGTGCTGATTTTAACATCACATTAACAAAACTGTCCATTCTGAATCCAGCTTGCTTCATCAAAATACATATTGAAAATTCCTGGTGTAGAAAACTCAACATGTGCTGTAACAGGGTGTACTTTCCTCCAACTATCTAAAAGGCTGAATTTCTGTTAAATGTTCAAGAAATGGTCCCAACAGCTTAACTTCATTTTTTATGACAGCTGAATCTGTTTTTCATAGAAATTTTTTTTAAAAAGAGGCAACGGATTAAAACAACAACATGGCCAGCACCATTATACAAGTAATGTTATTGGGTTTGCAACTGAAGTTTTATAATTGTTTCTAGATTGGATACCCCCCTGGAGCAACCCTGCATTATTATTATTTTATCAATCTTTCCCTCCCCCAAAACCATCCCAAAACCTGAGATTTTCCTTGCTGAGAAACTATCTCCCAGGCTCTGGTTACTAACCTCTTTTTTTTTTTTCCCCCCCGACAGCTTGAAAGGCAAACCCCTTAGTTACTAGCAAGCAATCAAGTTCCTGGGAAGCCTGATGTTTTACAGAACTAAACTCTCTTAGCCGATATACTGAATGTCTTTTGCTACCCCTTGTATATTTATAAGTTCAAGTGAGAAAGCTTTCTGATTCAGATTTTCAGCTCATTGAACAGTTGCAGCATTTTAGTAAGACCACATGTTGAGGGTACCCCAGTAATAATTTTATGAGCCAAGACGAGGTCTTTTCCTGGGGGCTGTTTCTTCTTCCTCATCTTCCTCTTCATCATCTGGATAATCCACTAAGCCAACCAAACTTCCCTATTGAAGAATTAAAAATTAAAAAAAAAATTTAAAAAATATATGTAACCAAAAAAACCTTATTAGTACAAATACAGTCACTTTTAAAGATACTAGAAATCATTTTTCTAAATCGCAGATATGTGAAATTAACGCATGCTTGAATTTGATAAAGGAAATTCATGAAATTATGAACATTTACTGAGTTCTAATTGATGGCACTCTCAGTAACCCTCAACTTTTCTATTTGGTTCTTGGACTTTTAATGATTTCTCAGAACTCAATTCAATCAGCAAAATTTTGGTGGGAAAATGTTTTTCCAAATAGCAGGACTAACAAACAATCATAAAATTTGGAAGCTGGAAAAGACCTTAGGGATGAACTAGTTTACTTCTCTAATTTTACGCTAGAGAGGATAGTAGCCAGTCAGGGATAAGAAGTCTCCTTGCAGTTTCTCTGTTCATCACGTGTATTTTTCATTACTAAGTACACATCACTGTCTTCATTCTGCTTTTGAAGAATACTTTAAAAGGGTGAAGATAATAAACACATGAAATGGTTCCTAAAAAGTAATGACTAAAAAATTTAGGGCTAAGCTCAGTGTAATCAAGGGAAAAATACGAATGAGGTAATTCAAATTCCAATGCCACCACTTTTTATCTCCATGACTTTGGACAAATGATTTAATATATCTATGCCTCAGTTTCTTCATATGCAAAATTGGTGCAGTAGTAGTATTTAGACCTCATTGAACTATTTTGAAAATTAAATTGAAAACAAAAGCACCCTGTACCGGCCAGCCATCAAAAAACAAACAAAAAAAGATGTAAAGCACTTTGGTACAGTGCTTGGTATATAGTTAATATTCAGTAAGTGCTATTAGCTGCTATTACTATTGTCATTATTTCTGTTATTCTAAGCCAAACAAATTGGAAGAGAGGAGAAAGAAGAAATAAGTACAGTATAAGAAAGCACAAGGGCTAGCTGGTTAGCTCAGTTGGCTAGACTGCAGTGTTAACACCAAGGTCAAGGGTTCAGATCCATGTATCATGCCACCAAGAAAAGAAATTAATTAAAAATAAATAAATAAAAAATAACTAAAAAGGCACCAATCTAATATAACAGTGAGCTACCAAGAATTTTTATGTATGCTTAGGATTATATATCAAAATGTACAAACATTTCAGTCCCAAACAGTTAACACAATAATTTATCAATCTTAAGCAAAAAAAGTCATCTAAAAAAC